TTTAACAGCCGAAAATGAGGGGTAGATGAGGTCATTTGAAGTAACTTTTTCCTTTGCGAAAATGCGATCTGCGGCTTCGTTCACGAGTTATTAACGGAAAACACTGACCAATGAGAGGTGACGGCGCGAAGTTCGAGAGCCCGCAGCACGAGGCTTTGACAGATGGTCGGGACGGACTCGAGCCGCGTTCGAAGTATTGAACAAATCACGAAGCGAGAACTTTCCGGATTATTTTTTACTACGTAACAGTGATATTTTTAAGAAAAACGCTGTTCACCTTTACTTTAGAACGTCTGAAGAATATTTACTCCTCATTTTCGGCTGTTAAAATAATTGTGGAACACCCTGTATATATTTTGAAACGATAAATCTGGTCCTCCTGTTTGTGTGTGTGTTCTCCTTCGAACAAACCTGGAACAAACAATAAAGCGTAATTTTCTTAACAACAAAACTGCGAGTCGAACTTAAATACCGTTTCCAAAAAAGAATGCGAACAGGATGTGAACGCGAATCATTCTGAAATAATTCAAAACGCTTGAAGCAATTGAAAAAGAATCACTGCTCCGTCTTCGGAGCATTTTTCAAAACACTATGCAGGTTCATACGGCGCGCACTTCTGTTATCCGTTGCCTACAAATCTCGAGGAAGCCGGCGTAAGTGGAACGAACGGACGAAGTGCTTCGGAGAGAGAGTCTGGGAAAAGTGTTTTACTCCTGAGAATCGAAAGGAAAATTGCAGGCGGTCGTCGTCGGGCGCGTCGTTGTCCGAGCAAACTTCCCGCGAATGAAAAGAGAAACCTGTTTCGGTGGATGGTCAGGGTCGCCGACGGAGACGAGACGGGACGAGAGACGCTTAATCGCGGATTCCCGCGATAATCCGTAACCCATTCGCCGTGACGCGATATCCTGCCTTCGCGCGCGCGATATCGACCCAGATAGTCCGCGGGGATCGCGAGATAGAGCGTCCGCGAGCCCGACTCCTGCCGTTTAATTTGTTCGATGGTCGGAGATAGTCGCGCGACACGGCCTGCGATCAATTGATAGCCGGGGTAGCGAGGGAGGAGAGGGCCGGCCGATTACCGCGACGATCGAGTCTAATTAGCCGAGTCGCGAGACGGGTGCGTCGCGGCGACGCGCGACGGCTCCGTCGACGGCACGCGGGGCCCGCGACGGCGCCCGTTTATCACTCGACGCGAGCTGGAGAGAGAGAGTGGGAGAGAGAGAGGGAAAGAGGAAAGAAGAGATATGAAGAAGAGAGAGAGAGAGATAAAGAAGTGAGGGAGGGAAAGAGAAAAGACGAGAGAGAGAGATATAAAAGAGAGAGATATAAAGAAGAGAAAGAGAGGGAAAGAGAAAAGACGAGAGAGAGATATAAAAGGGAGAGATGTAAAGAAGAGAGAGCGATATAAAGAAGAGAGAGAGGGAAAGAGAAAAGACGAGAGAGATATATAAAAGGGAGAGATGTAAAGAAGAGAGAGCGATATAAAGAAGAGAGAGAGGGAAAGAGAAAAGACGAGAGAGATATATAAAAGGGAGAGATGTAAAGAAGAGAGAGCGATATAAAGAAGAGAGAGAGGGAAAGAGAAAAGACGAGAGAGATATATAAAAGGGAGAGAGGGAAAGAGAAAAGACGAGAAAGAGATATAAAGAAGAGTGATATAAAGAAGAGAGAGAGGGGAAGAGGAAAGAAGAGAGAGAAGGAGAGAGAAAAGAAAAGACAGTAAGAAAAGAGACAGTGAGAGAAGAGAGAGAGAGAGAGAGAGAGTGAGAGAAGAGAGAGTAAGAGAAGAGAGGGAGAGAGAAGTAGAAGAGGGAGTCTTTGAAACGACGCGGAACAGTGCGCTCCTTTCAATTATTTATTTAACGGGCAATCGACCTCTGAATGCCGGGCACTCCGTAGCTCTCGCTGACCGGGCTTTTGACAATAATAATCATGACCGATGCCTTTATTGGCCGCGCCGTGGCCGCGGCAAACATAAAAATTAACGAGACCGGGCGCAAAAGCGACTCGCGAGTGAAAGATAAACGAGGAAACGCGGACATGTGAAACCGAGCGACGATACGATGCACCGATACCGGTATATACATATACATACATACATACATACATACATATATACACATACATACAAACATACATTGCAGCGTTCGTTAGTCCGTTGTCGCGCGATCAAATTCGATGCAGCCGTTATCTGTTATACATTCGTTTCTATGTATAACCGTTCGCGCGCGATCCGCGACGAAAGTTCCACGCGCGGTTTCTTAAACGGAAACGTTACTCGTTCCCTTCAAATCGCCGCGAAATATGAAAGCAAATGAGCGAAAGGCAAATTCGGACGTACCGAAGACAAAAATCATCTCGTTCCGTTAGAGAAATTCTTTCATTAAGCCCGACGAGGCGCCTATTACAGTAATGTCTCCCTAATTGACGCTCGGATTACAGTAATGTCTCCCTAACTGACGCTCAGATTGCGCAGAAAAATGGACGATTTGTGAAGAGGAGATACGATCAGTCGAGCCTTGCGGTTTATTTTTACAGTTATAAATTGTCCACGATTATAACTCCTCTTCCCAAATTATTCACTTTAGTGGACAATCTGAGCGTCAGTAAGGGAGACATTACTGTATGCATAAAAATGGACGATTTGTGAAGAGGTGATACGATTAGTCGAGCCTTGCGACTCGTTTTTATAGTTGTCGACACTCGATAACCATAAAAAGCGAGCCACAAGGCTCGAACAATCGTATCTCCTTTTCCAAAATTGTCGATTTTTCGTGGACAATCTGAGCGTCAATTAGAGAGACATTACCGTAGTTCCGGAAGGCGCAGAGCACGGTATCGGAGTTATCTCGCCCAAGAAAATCTTCACTCCCAAAAAAGAAAAAAGAAAGAAAAAAACGACGCCGTATTAAGGTTCGACTAATCGGACATAATCCGAGCGAATAATCGGACATAATCGATCGCCGATATGAATTAAGTAACACCGCGTTGCGACAGCGTGCGTCTATGTCTGCGAAAAGAAATCCCAGTTCGAAAGGGTAACATTTAAAGCGCGCGCGTGCACTGGGCGCGTTGAGACGCGTTCTCACTTCGTGAGAAAAAAAAAAGAAAAAGTAACCTAAAACTCCTGCAGAGCGGTATACAAAATGATCCAATAATTTCTTTCAGCCAACGAGAAGCAAGGATCGCCGAGGATAAGCCAGCCGGCCAGCCGGCGTAGGAGGGCGAAAGGGGCGCAGAGATTTCCGGGGGCCCGACATGCGATAAAGGATATACGTAACAACGAGCGTAAGTAGTCCTCTTTCTTCCTTCTCCGTGTCCGGACATGCTCGCATGAATAAACAAGCAGGGATTTAAAAAAAAAGAAAAGAAAAAAAAGAAAAAAGAAAGGAATCGCATAGGTTCCCCTCGAGGAAAGGATGATCCCATGGGACGACGACGGCGACGACGACGACGACGAGTCGGACGGGTCGGAACGGGTCGGGCGGGTCGGGTCGGTCCCGCGTCACTACTCGATAACGAACTTTCTTTTTTCATCGACGGTTTCTTCGAGTCGGTGACGGCCAGTTATGAATTTTATGATTTATTCGTGTTGCTCGTGGCGAGGGGAGCCACGGGAGGGATGCTGGAGAGGGTCGGAGGGAGGCGGGACGACGACGAGCACGAGGAGGAGGAGGTAGCCCGGACCCAGGGCCGGCCATTATAGCTGGCCGTATGAGTTACGACTGTGTGCATGCCAGTGACGTGCAGTCATCGGGCAACGCTTGGTTTAGTGCCGATAGCCCTGCGCTTTTCGATCCTATACTTAGCGGATAACCGACATATAGCGATATACTGCGCTTATTAGCGAGTATAATAAGCCCGGGCGGGCCGGCTTCGACTTCGATAACTGTCCGTTCCTCGGGTCGCATGGTCCCCGTCCGTCGCGTTTCGGCAACTTTTCTTTGATACTCCCATTGCTTTCTTTTTTGTCTTTTTTTTTCTTCGTTTTTCTTTCTTCTATCGTCGAACCTCTTATTTCAAGTCTGATTTATTGGACGATATAGGCGAGAGCCTATTCGAGCGGGACACACGTTCGCGTCCACGTGCGCAGAGGATTTCGCACCGATCGATCGATCGATTGGTCGTATTCAGCCGCGTGTGTCTCTCGATAACAGCTCATCGCCGAGAAGTCGCGATGCATTATGCGTATGCACCATGCGAATAGGCTTCGTTCTAACCGCTGAAGAACGCGTTCGTCTTCTTCGGATACGCGGACAGCTGCACGTTGATCTATTTAATTGTCGATAACAGTCTGTTTTCATGGAATCGTCCACTTTCGCTTGATAATCCTAGTTTCTAGGATTCCGTCGGAGCTCGCGCTTCATTTTGTTGTTTATCAGGCGATAGGTTAACACGTTCCGTGCCGAGCTTTTTTTACTCGAATCTTCACACTTTGATATTTTACTAAACCTTGATGTATTACGTGCAATTATTAATTCTCGTACACATAACAACGTAACAAAAACTTATCAACGCCCATTCTTGCGGTGGAAATTGATTCTTCGGTTCTAAATTTCTTGTAAACAATTTGTTCGGTTCACTAAGTAAACATGCAAGCGTGTACCATCGATGGTACACGTGGCACGGAACGTGTTAACCTGCTCGCGATTGTGGTTGCGCTATTGTAAAACACTAACCTCGGAGATATTTTGTAATTATATATTATTATATTTATAAGTTTATATTATTTCATTTGAGTACTAAATATATGTATATTATCATTGTATAGCGAATATATACACATATATCTCTATATTTGCCATTTCCATGAAGTCTATAAATATTGGGTTGGCAACTAAGTAATTGCTGATTTCAGTTATAGATGCGCTCTCACTCCCACTTTTATGATATCCGTATATGTTATATTATAAAATTATTATTATTATTATTATT